TGCCAGGTGTCAGCCGAGACAATAATTAAATTAAGATCCCGCTGTAGCTGCTGAGCCGCTAGGTCAGTATCTGCTACACCACCCACCTTGGTGTCATCTGCAAATTTCACCAGTTTACTGTATATATTGGTGTCTATATCATTTATGTAAATTAGGAACAAAAGTGGTCCTAAAATTGAACCCTGCGGTACCCCACTATGAACGCAGGCCCACTGTGACATCGAGCCTCTTATAACTACTCGCTGCTTCCTATCTTACACAAATGAGTCTAATTGTATGAAAACAAAATTCAAAATAATTGAAATTGAAATAGTTACATGAGATTAAATAGGCTACACCTTTTCAGTGCATAAGTGCTTTTACTGACACGCTCAAAATAACAAGCATAAGTGCTGAAGTACGTGATTTGAGACTGACGGCAGCCTAGATGGGGGAAAAGTGAGGAGAGAGTGGGCGAGTTGGGGAGGATGGGCAGTGAATGGGCTCAAAGGGGCAAAAAGAAATAGTAATATATTAATAGTAATTAAGTGCTTAATGGATTTATGAATAGTCATTTAAAAAGCGCAGAAAAAGCTATATAAAAATTTATAGTACCTTTACAAGATGACCCCCACCCCCCCATGTCATCGTCCGTCATGAATTTTCACCGTAGACATCATCACATGGCAATTAGGTAGAGATCACCCAAACCTAATAGAGAGTGTGTAGAGTATATAGGGAGTATATAGAATGTATAGAGTGTACAGGGTGTAAAGCAGGGGTAGCCAATCTTATCTGCAAAGGGCCGGTGTGTATTCAGGTTTTCGCCGCAACTCCCTAATTAGGTCAGTAATTAGAGGACTGATTGGCTGAAGAGTCCTCACACCTGGGTTTGAACAGAAAGGTTATCCCAAAAACCTGCATACACCCCGGGACTTTGCGGATAAGATTGGCCACCCCTGGGGTAAAGAGTAAAGAGACTATATGGAGTGTATAGACAGTGTATGGAGTGCATAGGCAGTGTACAGAGCATATGGAGAGTGTGTCTAGGGGGCACAGAGTGTATATAGAGTATATAGACTATAGGCAGAGTGTATAGAGAGGATGCCTGTCCACACAGATGCACATACATTCACATATAGAGAAGTCTGCACAGCTATTAGAGGACTGACCTGTCCCAGCATGTCAGGTGCGATGGGCACCAATGGCCAGATTGCAGAATAGACAGTGAAGAAGAGCATCCAGAGGATCATGCTGCCCCACACGGCCAGATGGCTGAACTGCAGGAGACACATGGACAGCTGACACTCTGTGACCCCCCAGCCCTGAAACCCAACACCACCCAGATTACTGGGGCCCAAGTGGGACAGCTGCAGGGCGGGGCCCCCAGCCCTGAGGAATGTGGTTCGGGTGGGTGTGTGTACGTGTGTGAGTGTACGCATGTGGCTAGGAGGGTCACCCACCCTGGTCCAAGCTGTGGTCTCCATCCCAGCCTTCAGACACACCGTCACCACGACGTACTAGAGGGAAGTAGAACACAGTCAGCTGGGCCACATACTGCAGCCAAAATGGGCATGCGGCACCTCCCAGCATGCACCAGTCCACCATACTTTAGCCAAATGGAGTATGTGGCACCTCCCAGCATGAACTGGGTCACCATATTGTGGCAAAAGGAAGTATGCAGCACCTCCCAACATGCACTGGGCTACCATACCATGCCCAAGGAGGCACGAGGCACCTCCCATCATGCACCAGGCCACCATACTGTGGCCAAAGGGGGCACGAGGCACCTCCCAGCATGCACTGGGACACCATACTGTGGTCAAAGGGCCATGCATCACCTCCCATAATGCATTGGACCTGTAGAAAGGCCAGAGAAGGCATGCAGCACATCCCAGCACGCACCAGAATGCCGGAAACCATGCAACACACATGTTTCTTGCACTGGAAAATGTGCTCAAAGATGGCTACTCTGATTGCCAATTACTGCGCAAGTGTGCTCACCGTGTATACGATGTTGCCCACAAACAGGTAGTCTATGCTGTGTCCAGTGCTGAATACAGAGTCTGAGGGAAAACAGCAACAGTCAGCTGCATGGCACCTTACAAGGAAAGGTTAGACAGGAGTATTCCAGTGAGGGTTACACTGTTTACAGTTTACAGTGACAGGCTGCATTTGTGGAATGTCACCATGAGGCTGAGAACGACTGCAGACTGAATGGGGTGGGTGACAGTGAGTCAGACAGTAAATTACAGCGGCACAGTAGCTTCCGGCTGCATTATATGAGCTGTCAGTAATAACACAAAGGCAGAAAGAGCAGGTGTCACCCTGACAGATCATGCAGCTTAACCCGTGAGAGATCTGGGGTTTCGGGTGTCTCGCTGTAGGGCTCAGCTAACATGGGTTAGAGCCGAAAATCATTGTGTCTCCTCCATTTGTGTGCAGATAAAGAACATGATCTCCTGTTCTTTCTCTGGGAAAAGGCTGATATGTCTGTGAGCTGCCGGTGTGTATGTGCGTGTGTGGGGGGGGGGGGGGGTTTTGCACAGATCACTTTTGTAACTTCCTTACTTTTGGGAATATTTTTCAGGACTCCATTTGGATAACCTCAATTTGATAAAAATCTGTGAATGCAATCAGCTACTGATGGTTAAGGTTAGGGCTGGGTAGGGGTTCACCTTTGACATGGGGAAACTCATTTTTTTCTAAATCTGTGAATGCAGGGCCCTGTGATTTCTGTGTTGTGGAATACACAGGATGGAATCGTGGAATAGAGGTATGAAGTAAATAAGTATTTATGAATAATCACGGTATGGCGTGTAATTTACAGATTCTGTGCCGACATTTTAAATATTTTTTTTTCAAATTTAAAACCCATTTTGCGATTGTACAGTAAAATACCCTTAGGGTTACCAGCTTTGGTCAGCTGGCTGGCGTGAGACAAATCAGCACATGCAGTAACAGTTTTATTACCTTGTAAATAGTCTGTAGGAACTGCAAACTACCCCAATGATGCAGCTAATTTTATGTTTGTAATGGAATAATATAGATTCGCTGTATGAATTTTTGCCTGAGCCTCATAGCCAGAAAATGTGATCTTCACGTCAGGTGCATGAAAGTTGGCAACAGTGTACCTTTGCAGTAGGCATAGCCAAAGACTTTTTAACAGGAACGACTCTGCTGTAGTTAAATCTGGCCAAATGAGTACAAGGATGTTTGCACCCTGGGAACTCGGGGCACTCTCAAGCAGCTCGAACGTTTATAGGAATGGCCCCCTATTCGACCCATCTAGCCATTTATGTCTCCATTGTGGTGTATCAACCAATGATGTACAGGTCCATTCTCAAGTGACCCGAACTGGTAATAATGATAAATACAACATTATGCCCAATCAGCTTTATACGCCTAAATTTTATACTTACATTTTATTTTAACTGACCAGCCTGTAAGTGCCAAAAGTCTTGTCTTTTGTTTGGTTACTTATGGTTAAGGTTAAGGCTGGGTAGGGGTTAAGGTCATCATGTTGGGATTTTAGGGTTATGCCCACAGAAATGAACAGAGTCCCCACAAGGATACTGATACTTAATGTGTGTGTGTGTGAGTGTGTGGATGGATTGACGGCAGGGCGGATGGTCTGATGCCATGGTTACCGTGTTCCAGGACTTTCAGTGGGAACCAAAAGAGAATGACAGAGTGGATAAGTGCATTGATGCAGTGACCCCAAAACACCTGGGAGAGAGAGAGAGATTCTCAGGGAATGCTAGAGCAAACACAGGCCACACAAACACACCCAGACGCAGCCACAGTCGCACTGCCCTCTAAGTGAATGAGTTCCTTATACTGCCCCTCTCACTTTCACTACAGTTGCCATGGTAATTCTGGAGCCTCCCTTGTTTACTCACTGGAGGAAGACCATCCAAACACGACCTCCAGGCATTAGTCATCAATCACAGAGCCACTTGAAGCAAGCTCCTTACATGAAGCATGGTATGTGTGTATGTCTGTTTATGTCTGTGTGTATCTGTGTGTGTGACTGACAGAGAGATTGACCTACCTTGGTGTTGAAGCCATCTGCATTCTGGGTGATACGGTACAGCTGTGGGAAACGCAGCATGTTCTGCTGGCTGCATGGCCGGTCAAATATGCCCAGAGTGAATGGAGGGAGCGCAGTAAAGATCTGACACACAGAGCGAGTTACAGTGTCAGAATCGGTCAGTTAGGGAGTCCGTGACAGGAAGAGACACACACACATACACACACAGCATCCATCAGATTGTCTGAGAATCAATCAGAGTCATTCAGGATCAATCAAAGAGTCACAGACACAGAGAATGAGTCAGAGCTAGGGAAAAAGACAGTCAGGCACACATGACTCCCTGGTGTGCTGATGATAAGTGACCTTGACAAGCAAGGACAAGTGACAGCTGCTATGGATGCAGACAGGGGGTTGTCTTACCACGTTGTAGAGGCCGATGCACCAGCGCTCAAACAGAATCTGCCCAGAGAAGCCGTTCACAAAGGCAAACCAGAGCTGTGGAAAAGCAGGTGTGGCTCACTGTCCTGACCTCTGACCCCTGACCTCTGTGCTGGTGGTGGCTAATCCATTAGACATTAGAGACATTAGAAACGAGGACACACACACAGACGATGTACACAGACATGGGAAAACACCCCATGACACAGACTCAAGGACTTACACAGAGACAACACACTTGAACACAGGAAAACATACCATGACACAGCCTAACACATACACAGCCACACGCCAACAGATGCTGACATACACACAGACACACACAGCCTACATGAAGATAGATTCTGACACACACACAGTCTGGATGCTGACAGATGACAACAGCCTCCAGATTCAGGCTTTCAGTGACTGTGCTTCCTGTCACACCTGTTCACATCTTTCAGGGTGGGGGTGCATGTGGCCCGGCCCACATCCCACCTGGAATGTGGCTATAAGGCACATGGGGTTATGCGCATATATTGCTGAATCCCCCTTTTCCCCTGCCCCCCACTCTGCCTTCTTTAATGTGGGCTTACAGATACGACACATTTGTGCCTTTACCTCGATGATATACAGGACAACATTCTTGTAGAAACAGTACAGGATGCACTTGGTAACCCGAGTGTAACTCCAGGCTCCATGGACCAGCAAGAGCTTCTCCAGGTATGAGAACTGAAAGAGAAAGAAAACACATGGTAAAACACAGTAAAACACATACAGGAGAGCACAGACACACGGTGAAACACATGGGCACTTTTGCTGAGGCATGTACACAGCTTTGTGGAGGTATGGCTCTAACCTGTGCGATGGAGTAGTCCGATGAGTTGGTGGCCTGCATTCCCTCATTGCCGCTGATGCCCACGCCGACATGGGCTGTCTGGATCATACCCACGTCATTGGCTCCGTCCCCGATCGCCATGGTGATGGCGTTCACGTGAGTCTTCACCATATCCACTATCTCAGACTTCTGCAGTGGAGACACCCTGGTAAGGGAGGGTTCCGATTAACACCCTCATAATGATGGCGGTAAGGGAGGGTTCCGATTAACACCCTCTTGGAAGGTTCCGGTAAGGGAGGGTTTGATTAACAACCTGATAATGCAGGTAAAGGAGGGTTCCGATTAATACCCTGATAATGCAGGTAAAGGAAGGTTCCGATTAACACCCTGATAATGCCGGTAAGGGAGGGTTCCGATAAACACCCTCATAATGTCGGTAAGGGAGGGTTCGATTAACATCTTCATCACACTGAAATGGAGAGTTAATAACGTCCTCATGAAGCCGGTAGGCAAGGTTTCTGATTAACATCTTTATCACACCAGTAAGGGTGGGTTCCGATTAATGCCTTTACCACACAGGTAAAATAGAGGCCTTCATTATGCTGGTAAGAGAAGGTTCCGATTAACAACTTCATCGTGCAGACACTCCAGTTACTGCTGTTCTTGACAGATGCTGTCGCTCTGTGATAATAATAATTATTGATCCCCGTGGGGAAATTCTTTATTAAGAATTTATATAGATATATATATAGATATAATATAGATATAATATAGATATAATATAGATGCTGTCGCTCTGTGATGGTCATCGGGTGGTGAGATGGGGTCATTATCATGGTGAACGCATCTGTGGTCATGTACACAATTTATTTATGCATCTGTCAGTGTCTGTAAAATGTGGAATGCGTGACAGATCATTTCACTGGTGGCATGCCTTTGCAGTGCAGACCTGACCAAGAAAAAAGAGACACAGAAAGACTGACATAGACAGATAGACAGACACAGACCGACTGACTGACTCAGAGAGACACACAGACAGGCAGGCTGACAGTTAGCCAGACAGACTGATGCAGACAGGCAAACAGACAGACATGCGGACAGAGACAATCAGGCAGACAGACACAGTCAGACCCAGACAGACAGGCAGACAGACAGGCTAACTGAACTGCAAGGCATGTTTCACAAGCACCCCACGACAGGCTGAAGCACACTAAAGCATGGGGGTCTTTCTGAGGGCCAGAAGCCAGAATTTAGCTCTCCAGAACATGACTCACGTTTGTACTGGCTGTTCTTAAGTTCAGAAACACATTATTGTTCCAAACCGGTTTCTATGAAAACAAAGAGGAGGAACGGAGGTAATTATGGAGAAGCCAGATTAGTATGTGTGTGTGTGTGTGTGTGTGTGTGTGTGTGGAGATTACACACCATGGGAAGACTCCATTCTGTCTGTTACTTGGGGAAAAAGTGGCCTTCCACGTATGAGCTGCACAATCCACAGATTATTTACTGTACAGCACCAAAAGACTCAGCATCATCAAACAACTAGACATCACCAAACGAACTGGCATCACCAAATAACTAGGCATCCCCAAACAACTAGGCATCGCTGAAGAGATTGTGGGGTACAGCCCTCATGGCGGCATGCCTCCAGCAGAGCAGTAGAGGAATCTGGTATGTGGCTCAGTGAGGCAGAAGTAAGCAGAGCCTCTGTGAGAATACCAGCAAGACGACCCCAACCTGCTACCCACCGCTTGCCTGTTCTCACATTACTGTGTGGTTTGGAGGCCACTGTGCTGGGACCTCCAACATGGGTCAGGGTGAGCAGCAGCTTGGCGCTGAAAGGTCCTTTCTGGGTGGTCTGGCTCGTGCATTTCAAGAGGAAACATGGCCCCAGGCTGCTGCCCACGCCCCGCGGTACCCAAGTGTCATGGGGGGGCCTGGGAGGGCCGTGTCCCACCTAATGCCCATCCCCCCCTTTGTCGATGCTGGTGTGTCAGTGACCTTGACGTGTGGGAGGAAATTTGACAGCTTCAAGTCATGAAGGCCAGTGTGGGAGATGCCCACCAGGACACAGAAATACACTCATGTGTAAATGCATGTATAAAACACACGGCACACGCAGATATATGTAGAAACACACACACAGGTACATGTATAAACACGTACGAGGCATGTATACATACACACACAACACACATGCAGATACAGCGGTAAGTACACACAGATACATGCAAGTACATGTATAAATACACGCAGGTACATCTATAAATATAGACACGACACATACAGGTACATGTATAAACACATGTATCTGACATGCGGAAAGTGAGTGCAGCACAGGATGAGACACATTCACTGAGGTAATCTGGAGAAAAATGGGAGGCTCATTAAAGAGCTGCAGAGGTTCATTAGGCAGCCCCAGCCTGCTCTCCCGGAGCCCCAAGCTGTGGACGCACAGCAGGACACTCCCCATCTAGTGAGGCCGTTACCCCCAGCACACACAGCCTGCACTGCTGAGGGCTCCTGGCCTGCTCATGTGATCACGCTGGGGAGCACTTCCTGCATGCAGATTGGTTTAAAGATAACCTTTTTTTTTTTTGCTCTGCAGGGTAAGGATAGGTGACTGTGGGGTACAGGCATGTACCAGCGAGTGTCCAGTAACCATGGGGTACATGCAGGCACGTGCACAGGTAGGGCTCAACCTGTGCAGAGCACATGACCTTTTTGTAATTACACTCGGAAGTGCCCTTTTTTTTTTTTTTATAAATCAATGCTATTGGTAACCCTTTATGTCTGTTTGTCTTTTTAACAAATATTTAATATTTATTAAAAAGCGCGTCTCTTAGAACCGCTCAAACTGTCCGTCAAACTTCACAACTCCGCCCCCTGAGCGCCGCGAACTTACGTTTCAGCACAGAGCCAGAGTCATAGAGCAGAAGCAGATGAACGTCTTCGTCTTGTAACGGTAAAATATCTTGTTGTTTGAATAAGTGCAACGTTGTCTTTATGAAATAAACACTAGTATGTCTATAAAGGTTCATATAATGCATCACCACACCGGTGTGATGTTGACGTAATGTAATGTCGTCGTTTTAATGATGGACAAATTGCACACATTCGCTGGTCAAAAACCCGCGGTGTAACTGCATTTGAGTTTGACACAAAGCAACCGAGTGATCCTTGTCAGCTAGGTAAAATATATTATAAGAAATTTCTATTTTGATTTTATCTGCTGAATGTGCTGATGCATGTAAATTACATGATGTAATTTATTAACATTTCATCATATTATATAGCTAGTGATTAATACTAATTAAATATAATATCAGAATATTATTGTGTGTTATTTTTTTGGTGGTGGAGGGGTTCGTGGAGGGGTTGGGGGGGTGCCCTTTTTTCAGTTTCAGCACATGCCCCTCAAAAGGTCTGTACACGGCCCTGGGTACATGCATGGCCATTCAGTACCTGCAGCAGATCACAGCTTTGCAGGACAGCGCCAGGTCGAGGAAGGACTGGCGGACCTCGAAGGACAGGGCATACTTGAGCGTCTGCCCGTCGATGATGAGGGCCAACTCATTCTCCTGGCCCAGTGAGTCACCCAGAGAAGCACAGTGTCCCAGCAGGGTTTCGCGTGTGGCCTGTAGGAGGCAACAGAGTGTTGGTACTGTCACAAACATGTTATGGGCACAGAGGGCAGGTAAACGCTTAAACACACACAGACACATTCTGGTACTGATATACTCATGAGCAGACTCTGATAGAGTATGTTATTCTTCACCTCTGTGTGTGTTTGTGTGTGTGTCTGGATTATGCAACCAAAAAGGTTAAAATGCCAAAAGTCTCATATTTAGTTTGGTTACTTATGGTTAAGGTTAGGGCTGGGCAGTTGGTAAGGTTGTCATGCTGGTATTACAGTTTTCCCCATGGAAATGAATGGAGAGTCCCCAAGATATAAGATATAACAAACCTGTGTTTGTGCATGTGTGTGTGAGGTGCAGTGCGTGTGGATGCTGGGCCAAGCTGAGAATGTGACTGGGAGCAGCCACAGCTCTCAGGCTGTTATCAGTGCTGTTCCAGACTCTCTCCAACATATGATACACATCAAGCCAGAGCTCAGAGCAAAGCTGGGGGTGAAGGGAGCTGGGGGGCGCTTGGGGAATCTGTATCAGCGGCCTTTTATTAGCAATAAAAAGGCAGCATTGAAGAAGCTGATCACTGTGCTATAAACACACATCAGCACATTCCCAATAATTCACCATATTAATTCCGATTTTCCTGCCTTTCCCAGTGGTCCTGGGGGGCTTCAGGCTGCGCTCTCACTCTCAGCAAAAACAAACACGCTGCTCAAACTAATTGGAAGCACATGAATGCAGAAATCTAAACACACACAGGTTCATTCTCACCACGCACATTCAGAGGCAAGCGCAGGCAGTGACACAGTGTGACGGCTCACGCACAGGCAGATACACAGTGTGACTGCTCACTCACGGGCAGTGACACAGTGTGACGGTTCACGCAGAAGCAGTGACACAGTGTGATGGCTCACACAGAAGCAGTGACACAGTGTGACGGCTCACGCACAGGCAGTGACACAGTGTGACGACTCACGCAGAGACACACATATACGCAGAGTGGCTGTCACACCCACTGCCAGGTAATGGAGCGTAGGAGCAGGGAAAGGTACTGGCAAAGATCACACACTGAATAACCAACTGCTCACGGTAACCTGTGTGAAACAGGCAGGCAGATCATCAGTCATGTGACTGACGGAGACACCCTCCTCGTCCGCTGTGACCTCTGTGACCCCCACAGGCTATGCCACCCTGCAGCTGCCCGCCTTCCCCCTTTATTTAATCAGCCGTGTTTACGGTACTGCTGCTTCCCCACACACTGCCGCCCCCCCATCCACCTGCTGGCAAGGTCACCCGCGAGAGCCTGTCCCTGCTGCTTTTCCGGCACATTCTACAGCCTCACAACATCAGCGGCCAGCTGACCGCTGAATACAGGGCTGGCCATGGGTGTTCTAATGCCCACCCCCGAGCAGCAGAAAACAAATGTTATCAATTCAATTATAATAAAAATATTTCAGGATATCTGCTTGCTAACTAGCTAGCTCACATCTGTCTCACAAGGAAAATTGTGAAATATTAAAACTAGTGTGAACAACTAATGTCACGGAATGCAAGCAGAGGTATTTCTTACTTTTTTCATTTGCTCTTTTGAGCTCTAGGCAATTGCATATGTCACCTAGAGGGGGGCTGCTCTGCTTGAGCACATCCATGGGCCTGCCTGTATGCTGCTTATGATAAATGGTCTGGCTACATTCACATATTTAACGGTGAATACAGCAGTAAGTTTGCCATACCATCCCTTCTGGAGGGGAGAAGCAGGAAGCTACAAGGTTAAACCTGCAGGCCACTCACTGGCCACATTCCTGTGCCATAAAATGACCCAGTGACATATCACTGTCGTTAAACAGTACTGGGGTGCTAATCGCCACTGGCTGAGGCACTGTCTTTTCCAGACATGGACTGGCAGAGAACGCTACTGCCACCGTCTGTCAGACGAGTGTCATTGTCCTCAGGGAGGGCCCCCACTCATACAGTGTTCGGCAGCCACACTCCGGGATCTTATCTGTGTTATATTTAGGGCCGGTATCTGTGTTCTGGCGTCATCACAGCCAGGGTGTCTGCACATGTGTGTCCGTCTATATTACCAGCCTGTCTGCTCCTGCGGCCATGCTGTGGCCGTCACAGGCGGGGCATCTGCGCATGTGTGTCTGTCTGTATTGCCTGTGGCATGTCTGTCTGAGTTTCTGGTCCATCTGAAATGTGGGTGGGACATGTGTGAGCAGACTAAGTAATGGGAGTTTACAGCAAGGTGTGAATGGGGGATTATGGGTAATGTGGGGGCAGCAAAGACGCTATCGCTCCTCATCTGAGTGCCCCCCCTCCAGCATGGCATTGGGGGGAGGGGGCTGACTGATGTGAGAGCTGGATCAGATAAGAGTGTAAGGAACAGGCCTGAGACTGCAGGGGTCAGACACGCGGCACAGGGGGCCATGATTACCCAAGAGGCTCTGCTTTCAGGGTAGGAATTTGTTTAGGATGGAAAATAGCAGCCTGAGTAAAAGCCAAGTTACACACACACACACACACCCACACATGCATGCACACACATCTCGGGTATACCTATCTTTATTGGGCCCACTCATTCACTTCTATGGGAAAAATGCTAACGCTAACTATGACAACCTTAACCCTCACCCTGTCCTAACCATAACCATAAGTAACCAAGCAAAATACAAGAGTTTTTGCATTTTTAGTTTTTTTCATAGCAGTCACTGATTTTTTTAAAATAGAGTTTTCCATTCCTGGTCCCCATAAGGGAAAAAAATGAATATTTATCGTTATGTGGACATTGTGTCCCCATATGGATAGGTATACCCACTTGCACACACACATACACAAAGACAGAAACACTCACACACACAGACAAACTCACACACACGGACAGAAACACTAACACACACAGACACACACAAACAGAACTAAACGCACAGAGAGGAGAACACAAAACAGGCACACACAGTGACACGCTCAGAGATACAGATGCCTGCCTTTGAAGTGTGGCATCACAGAGGCGGTCACACACTGAAACAGTATGTGCCATGTTAAAAGCATGTAAAACACTGCAGGCATGTAAAAGACCCAAGAAGGGACTCTGAAGGGACTCACATCAAGCGAATCCTCGTTAACGATGATGAGGGACATGCCGTGGGACACTAGCCGGCAGGAGTAGCCTGAAAGACGGGGTGGAGAGCAGAGCAGAGAGAGTGAGACAGGGTCCAGATTTCAATGTCTGTGTCTCTGCATGTGAGACGCACCGATGTTGACTGCCGTCTCCTGCTTATCCCCAGTCAGCACCCAGATGCGAATGTCGGCTTTCATAAGGGTGGATATGGTCTCTGGGACTCCAGCCTGAAGCTGGTCCTCGATGGCTGTGGCTCCCAGCAGCAGGAGGTTCTGGGGAAGAGAGATAGGGACAGAACTGTGACAGAGCACATAGACAGGCATGTATATATATACACACACACACACAAATACAGACAGACATACGGGGGGCAAGAATACATAAAAATATATTTTGATACAAAATACAAATTAATTATGAAGTTAAATACAAATCACAAAACATCATTTTCAATTTAAAATATGTTTGTAATATATGTATCAAAAATACTGCCCATCCCTGCAGACACATACATATACAGACATGCACTTATACACATAAACAAACCAGTATACATGCACACACAAACAAAAATAGACAAACAAACACAAATATGCAAAAGATGCAACAACTCTTCCATAAACATGAACATCCATGAAACCATGAAAGAGGCTCGCTTATGCCCTCTGGTGCCCTGTTTATTTCAATGCAGACTGGGCCATTCACCCATCCTCCTGCCCTGTGTACCAGCACTAATTAGTAGCTAAACACTAAGCCACAGGGAAACCTGTGCTCTGGATGAGGAGTCAGGTGAGTGCATGCGCTAAATGTTTGACAAAGTCAAGCATGTTCATGTACAACAAAGATTCGAACTGGTGAGTTTTAAATACTCCCCACTGAAAAGATGGAAGGTAGGAATCAGCTGACAGTCATGTGATGGTCAGTTGATGGTCATGTGACAGCCAGGGGATTTTGCCTACCTTTTCCAGCTGCTCATAGCACTCTTCTAGTTTCTGTGCCCGGTCCTTGAGCACAGTACTGGTCTGAGTGTACGCCTTCAGCCACTCCTGGTATTCTCCCTCCTCAAGATCCACATATGCAAAACACAGAGTTCTCAGACCTAGTGATACAGGATACACAATGAGCATGCTCAGTCAAAGAGTGGCAGTGACCACGTCCCTGAGAGAAAGAGAAGCAGTATAGGCATCGTGGGGACAGGGGACAGGTACAGAGAAAGTGAGAGAAAGAATGAGGCCACAGTGCACTGAGCACAGACAGCAGGGCCAGATGAATACCTTCAGTAGCAAACTGTTCCAGGTGCGACACAGTGAGCTCTTTGTACCTGGAGTCCACAGCCAAGCGCTCAAAGATGACATTGTCCTAAAGTGACACAGCCAGGACACCCCATCAGTGTGAAGTGGGATGCCGTCACCAAGACAACACCCATAATTTTCCGCTGTGTTCATTGTGTCATGTGACCAATGTGGCAGTTCTGATCTATTCTGTGTGTGTCCTGCAGTTTATATTCCGTGTTTTACATGCGTTCCACCTCTCCCCCGTGTGTTCTCCATGTGCTGTATGACATTGCATTTTGAGCACTAGAGGGCTCCACTTACTGCACCCTTGCAGTAGAGACGCAGCTTTCCGGTGGGGGTTCTGACAACCACAGACATGCGCTTGCGGTTACTGTGGGCAAAGAGGAGTACAAAATGATTAAATTATGTGAGTGCACATAATGATTAAATGTCAAACACACACACATGCGCACATGTCGCACACACACACCTTTGTGGGAACTCTCCATTCATTTCTATGGGGAAAACTCTAATCCCAACATGATGACCTTAACCCCTACCCAGCCCTAACCTTAACGATGAGAAATCAAACAAAATACGAAACTTTTGGCATTTTTAGTTTTTTGATTTCATTCACAGATCTTTGTGGGGACTTCAAACATGGTCTTCACAATGTTAAAAAAAAGGTTTTTTATTACATCGTGGGAAACATTTGGTCCCCACAATGTAATATAAAATGTAATGCACAAACACATACACACACACAAAGATGGGGCAGAATCTCACCTGGAGAACTCGAGGACGTTGAGAAGCTCGTAGCTCTGCTCTCTTCCCCTCTGAAAGACAAACAGAGACCAGTGAGCCTTGCGCCCATTCTGTACCCAGGTCCCTCTGCCTGGTCTGATGAGCATCAGGGTACTGACCGCCTCGATGATCACACAGTGGGGGGTCCTCGCTGTGAAGATGAAGCCCAGGCCCTTTGCACCTTTCACTAGTGCACCTTCATCTGAGGAAGAGGAGGAGAGCTCTAGAAATCACACATGCACACACACATTCCTGTCTGCTGGTGAGAGTGTGAAAAGGTATTGGCTATGTGACAATGCCCCCACAAACCTGGGGAGGAGGCCTGGTAGATAATCTGCTCTCCATTATGCTCCGGGACGACTGTGTGACAGACCGCCATCATGGTAAGGAACTCACATATCTGCGGTGATGTTGGCTGGAGAGGAAAGGAGAGGAGAAGAGGAAGGGGGGGAAGAGGAAAGGAGAGGAGATGAGAAAGGGGAGAACAGAGGAGAGAAGATGAGAGGAGAGGGGGAAGAAGAGAGGAGAGAAGGAAGGGGATAGGATGAGTTAGCCTAGTTTCCACGGACCAGACATCCCGATCAGACCAATCATGCTGAGGGACTTACGTGGTTCTGTTCAATGTTCTGGATGAGAGTGGAGTCATCAAACTCCGCAGAGTTATGGTTGCTAGACGGCAGATGGCTGACAGGGAGAGACAGAGAGGGAGAGACCATTCAAAAGACTTCCTTCACAAGTATCTATCATCCAATCACAACCTTGTAGTGGATGCTGCCTAATGACCAAATTCCAAAACAAGGAGGGGCACGATCATTTAACAACTAATCATAGTAACGAAGACCAGGGGTGAGGTGTCATTAGTGATTTTGGGCCCCTTGAAGGTATATCATATTGGGCCTCCAACTCAGACCAATCCAATCATGTTCCAAATTTGGAATCATCCAAACCCCCCTCCCCCCATCACACCTGAAGTCGTCCATGGAACGCTCACAGTCTTGCTCCGGGAAGTGTCTGCAGAAACATGCACTTGTCAGGGTATGTGCGCGCACACACGCACACACACACACACACACACACACACACACACACACACACACACACAGTGCACACGTTCAGACATGCAGATCAGCACGCATACACAAACTGACACATGCCAGACCTATCTGTGTTTTACATCTATTTAGGTTGTTAAAAAAATCAAAGACTAAAAGCTAGCCTTCTTTGGCACGGTGACCAATGACATTCTGACTTACTAAACAGTCCAAAGCTTTGCTGTGGAGCAGTGGAACGCTTCTCTCACTCACCCGTATGTGAGGCCGGCGATGCTGCACTTCTTGAAGTGCATGATGTTGCATGTGAGGGTTCCTGTCTTGTCAGAGAACAGGTACTTTACCTGAGGAACAGAGGAGGGCTTAGTGTGAACGTTTTTCCATGTGAGGACAACAGGTCCATGACCATACAAGGTGGCTCCCTCGCTGCTTGACAGGCCTGTTACTTTACAAGGCGGCTCCCTCTCTGTCTGACAGGCCCGATACTGTACAAAGCGGCTCCCTTTCTGCCTGACAGACCTATTACCGTATGAGGCGGCTCCCTCTCTGTCTGATGGGCCTGTTACTGTATGAAGCGGCTTCCTCTCTGTCTGATGAGCCTGTTACTGTATGAGGTGACTTCCTCTCTGTCTGATGAGCCTGTTACTGTATGAGGTGACTTGCTCTCTGTCTGATGGGCCTGTTACTGTATGAGGTGACTTCCTCTCTGTCTGATGAGCCTGTTACTGTATGAGGTGACTCGCTCTCTGTCTGATGGGTCTGTTACTGTATGAGGTGACTCGCTCTCTGTCTGATGGGCCTGTTTTTTTTTTTTTTTTTTTTTTTTTTTTTTTTTTATATTCCCTCCTCCACCCCCCCTCTGCGGGGGACTGTATCTATTTTTTTTTTTATTTATTTATTTTTTAAAATTATTATTTATTTATTTATTTTTAATTTTATTTTATATTTTTATTTACTTCCTCAAAAGAAGGAGAGGG